AAGTGGATTACACACTAGGCGATTCGAACGCACGTTTACGTGCGTTTCGAACGTCGCGTTTATTGAAACGCGAACGCACACTCCTTACACATTAGATGCGTTTCGATGCGTTTTTCGGCGTTTTGAAATCGTGCCGCGCTTTCACACTAGACGATTTTGTTTCGTTTCTCAAAAATAAAAAGCGTGGCAAATGTTATTTAAACCATTAAATTATTTGTAATTTGTTGTATACTAGTTTAGTACTGCTGTTACCTCCCATCGTAGATGACGTCTGCTGTTCAATTCGCATATATTATATCGTTCTTCGTTGTATTTCGTTTCGTTTATTTTTTATTTGTTTTAATATGGAAGTATTAAATGATATAGAAGCAGCATGCGTTATTTTTGCATTATACGAGGAACACGAACTCAGCAATAAAAAACAGCAACGAGATAAAATTAAGAGACGACATTGGGTCCATCCTTTAAATTTAAAAAGACCAGATAATGGTCAGTTTCAGGTGACATTTATGACCCTTCGTAGCTACCCAGAAGAGTTTATGAAATACTACCGTATGTCGATACCATCGTTTGATGAACTGGTAAGTAGAAATATATAGTTTACATACTATTTCATAGACCAATGTACAATATTTTTTAGTATAAAATGTAAATCATTATACAATTAGTAATGATTAATTAATACTATAGTACTAATACCTATTATAGTAATTATATTATGAATATGGACACTGGAATGTATAATGTTAATTTTAAAAATTAAATATTAAATCATAAAATATATAAATCATTGTATACGAAAAATGATTCTGAGCGTTGACGATCTGTCAGACTTTATTACTAAGTAGGTACTTACCTATATTTTATATCATTGCTATTAAAGTATTTTATTTTACTATTAGGCATATTAGTACAGTAGATTAATGTTATGATAATATTACACACAATAATAATTATATTTATTTAAATTTATTAAGATATCGCTGGTTAGACCAAAATTGTCAAAACAGCACACTGGTTTGCGTGTGCCAATATCACCTGAAGAGCGCCTGACCGTGACACTGAGGTAGGTATTCAAAAATTAAATTAAAAAATGTAGAAACTAGTATTTATTTTATTTATTGATTTTAGTTTTTATATAATACATTCATGGTGTATTTTTATTTGAGTAGTTGTACGGAGAAGTAGGCTGAGAGTAATTGTTTACATAGTGATGGGCATGATGTATTGGAGGTGTAGACATATTTTGTGGAGTTGGAGAAGACATGTTGGAAAAATTGTAAGAATTTTTAGTTGAATTAATTGCAGGAGAAGGAGGTTCTAAAAAGTTACTGGATTCATCATGTAAGCTTTGTGGAGAAGTAATGGTAGAATTTATTATGGCTGTAGGAACATTATGTGTATCATTGGCATAGTAATATCCAGGAGAAGAAAGATGCTGTTGAGAATAGTATGAGTTCGGTGGATGATTAATTGGTGCATTAGAAGAATTATAGGAATGAGGCATAGCAGATGAGTAATGTTTAACTCGTTGAATAGTATTCAAAAACTCGATATACACCATTGATTTTTG